ACTCCTGTTAACGGTAGCTTTCCTCCTTAAAATAACGTGCACTTGTTATCGGCTAGATTGGATTTAGTGACTTAGATATAAGTCCCAGGGCCATTATTTGTTACTCGCCAAAGGAAAGTACGAAGCCACCAATTTTCTAGAATCATGTATGTAGATTTTACTTATACCAGAAGAACCCTCATCAAACAGTGACTCAATTGAATTCAATGTCCACAACCTCCATTCTTACTTTTATTATATTTTATTAAGCAAGCTTTAGCAGGGGTAAATGACAATCAGATTTAGTGAAGGAAATTATAAAAATTGTAACAAGTAATACTCTCATAATATAAAATTAACCATACCCTATCTTCTTTCTAATCCCTAACCTGTGTCACTGATCACACTGAGCGAGGCTTTAGGGGCAGGGGAACTCACACCCGTTGTTAGTCGATCTTGGCAGCCGAAACCTTTAGACGTCCTTGGTCAGAGTCTCTGTCCTAGCGAGGCAAAGTTCTCTTCCGGAAAAGCAGCAAAGCCAATCTGTCCAATTTCTTTTAAACGAACAGAATCTTCATCACCTAGTGACCTTTGTCTTTTCCCCAAGTCTGCTGCGGTTGAATAGGGATCGTAGGGTGGAGGAAGAGGAGACGGTCGAATTCCGGGACCAGGGCTGGGGCTGACGGATCTTGTCCTTCTTTGCGGCGAGAACTCTCATCTTTTCCCTTGGTCCCAGGGTGTGGTCCTCTGCTGATTTTTTTGCCTGCGTCCTCTTGTTGACTCTCCTTCAGCGCCGCGGACTAAGAACAGTTTCCTCCCCGGCTCGCTGGCTTTTAAACTCTCTTGACCCAAAGTTGTGTGCGGGAGAGGTCTCATGACTCATACTTTCCGAGTATCTCATCAGAAAGTATCTACCCAAACCTTGTTCCACCCTAAATTGGTAATACACAAACTTCCCNCNTTNGCGTCTCTCTCTTCTGTTGGCCATCTGGTAGTTATTACCTTTTTTGGCAATTTGTTCTGAGGCCCCCGCCCAGCCAGCTCAGCTTTTCCTGTATTCAACTCTACAGTCTTCTTATAATGTACCATGCAACACACTTAACACAATCAATTTGTTTTACCATTATCTGAAATCGTATATAACGACTAAGTTATTACTGTTACCACAGATCATGAATACAGATTATATATTGCAGTCATACATTATAGACATTGTGATTACAATACATCAACCATTTAAACTATTACACAGTTATGTATTTTGTATTTCATTTCTTTAATCATTCTTAAATCAATGCAAGATTACTGTTATTCCCCAGGCTTTTACCCTGCTTTCTGCGTGTACCTAGAGAGATCTCACAAGTCCATGCCAGTTTTCTTGACA